AAAGATCAACAGGATACAGCATGCTTTCTTTTTTAAGCAGATATCCTAGCAAGGCCATATAATAAAGTAAGGGAGGTTTGAAGAGTTCAGGGATAAGTAAGGCCAATAGTATGTAATGCAGAATGCAGGGGCCAGTACTATGTAATGTAAGTACATGGATCAAGATTAGGTAACAGAGTGCAGAGGTCAGTAGTAAGTGATGTAGATCTCAGAGAACAGTAGTAATTGACACAGTGTGCAGGGGCCATTAGTAAGTAACACAGAATTCAGAGGTTAGTAAAATGAAATGCAAAGGAGAGGTGTCAGTTCTAAATAACAGAGGTCAGTAGTAAGTGATGCAGAGAAGAGGGGTCAGTAGTAGGTTATTCAGAGATCAGTAGTAAATGATGCAGAATGCAGAGTTCAGAGGCCGGAAGTAAGTAACTCATAGTGCAGGAGTGGGTAGTATATAATGCAGAGTTCAGCAATCACCTGCATGTAATGCAGAGGTCATGGATAACTAACTCGCACCCCCCCCCCTCCCCCGGAAAAAGTACCCCCGTGTCATGTGACGCATCCAAGCTGGAGGAGTGTAGGACTACCCTTGGCTCTGCAATAATATGAGGTGGCAGGCAGGGTCAGGAGCTGGCGGAGTGGCAGTGTCATAATGTAACCTTGGCATGCCCCCGATTGATGGGTGGATGGCAAATGAAGTGTTGCCAATCCTCAGTATAGTGTTTGCAGTATTTCTGAAATAATTTTTCATTACTTTCTCTGAAATCTTCAGCTGATAATGAACTTTACTGTTAGTGTTGTCATCCAGCTGGCTGTGCTATGTGGGTGGGCTATATAAGTCTCAGGACTAGATACATAGAAATACAAATCTTTTGACAGGTAAAATTACTCCCTTTTTATATGTCATTTAATCTATGTACTTAACCATTTTCCAGGAGTTAAGATTTCATGACTAGACCTCCAGATGCATATTACTCCCCACAACCCAGTGTAAGCCCTGTGTAAGCTTTGAGTTGCCAATTGAAGCTTGCACAGTACTCTGGTCTATTTTGTGACTGCTAATTGGCCCAGCACTGTCATATGGAGTGTGTTGCATGCTCCTCCAGGCCCAGAACTAACAGGAGCATTGAGGCAGTGTCATAACCATAGCCATAACAGCCCACACGTCTGCTATTGGGGTTGGGGTAGGAGTGGGGCCCCATTAGGGGGGCTGATTAGAAACACTGAGCTGTGAGGTTTCTAGTATGGAAGGGTTGAAGTCAGACCTCAGAATTGTCTAGTCACAGATCCCATTTTCTTATTTATTTTAGCAGTGTAGATTCATTTTCCCTCTTAACTTCTGCTTCAGACTGAAATTAACCCTGCATACCTAATGCAGACACAAATCTTAAAGTTTCACCTCTATTGATGTCTTTTATAGAAGGGCTGAGGGGTGTGTTGTGCTGCAAAAAAACGTTTAATGAAGCTAGTGTTTAAAGAAGTTTCATGTTATGGTTGAAGAGTAAGTATGTGCAAAAGCATATTTCATTGTATCATAATATAAAATATCATTATGGTGGTTGTTATTATTAGTGCTATGATAATTTTTATCCCCATAACTGCTCCCTATCACAGACATCCCAACTCTCCCAGACGCTCCGGGAGTCTCCCGCTATTGGATAGCGGCTCCCAGCCACCCGGGAGAGAAACACTTCCTCCCAGAAAGGTTTATCTGCTCGATCGAGCAGATAAACCTTTCCCTGCGATCGTTTTTTCTTTCTTTTCTGACATCGGGAGCCGCGTCTATCAGTGTAATGACAATGCTAACAGCTCTCCTGCTGCCTATCCTTGATTCTTTCTTCATGTTAAGATCAGCAACAAATATTGTTCAAGTTGGCATTGGCAGCTGCTACAAAGGGAGTTAGCCAAGGGGCCCCAAAGTTTTGCTGTTATGCCCCTGCATTGGGGGTCTCTTTAACGTAGGAGGTGGTAATGATGGCTTCTTGGGAAAAGTATTCAGGACCTATTGCTTACCAATCCTTCCTTTATCACAATGCAAACTAATTGTTGTGTGCTTCGTGTGTGTTTAAACTACTTGCAGTCTTAGGGTCCAGACTTCATTCACACCAGGCGCTGCTCAAAATTCACAGCATCTGCTGTGCAGTGCCTGACACAGTGCCAATGCGCCAATCCTGGCACATTGCACTGTTATTTTTTTTTGTTAAGAATTTTATTGAAATGTCACAAGTCCACATTTCATTTAGTTCTACGGGCACAGTGGGGTACGAGGCAGTTGTTCTGCGTCGCATCCTGCTGTGCTGAAAAAAAGTAAGACATGCAGTACTTTTCTTTCAGCGCACACCACTGTATTCCTACTGTGAATGGGTGGTGCAAATGGTGTCCATCTTGAGAAGGCAAATTGCCTTGTCTTGCTTGGTGGTGCAAATTGCCTTGTCTTGCTTTGGGGCTGTGCTGGAAACAACAGCAAGCGCAGCCCAACATGAATGTATGAATGGACCCTTAAAATAAATTTTCCTTCTGTACAGATTCACAATCCCTGAGGTGAAGGGGAAAATGCAAAAGGTTAAAGTGTATGTGTATAGTTTATTCATTTTGCCTAATTTCCCTAATGATAGGTGCAAAGAGCTGCCAGCTGTAGCTGACTTCCAAGAAAGGTCCCAGGGTTTGGAGATTTACCTCTAGAGTGCCCTGTCTTTCACTACTGTTAATGTTACGATAGATGGATATTTTCCATATTTTTTAAAATTTTATGTATATTTTCTCTACCATTTAAGAATTAGTTGTTACTTTTGGTTATAAAGAGCATGCTCCCTCTCGCCTTCCTAACAGCGCTGGTGTTTAGTGATTGGCTACTCCTGTCCTGGAGTTTACACAGGGTTTCCTTTCACTGGTTAAATGGTGCTATGGGAAAGTGGAGAAAGGCAATCGTGTATAACTGGGCAAGTCTGTAGTTAAATTAACGTGTTGCTTTGCCCTACACGTAACAATTCCCTTGCAAAGTGACCAATCTATTTGCCTTTATTTAAATGACTATAATGAGAGAGCCTTCCATCGGTACCTTTTTTTAAGCTTGAAGTGTCAGCTGATGCCAACGTTTAATAATGTTGACAGTAATTAGTCTGCATCTGTACACTATGCAGACTGACTATGGACAGCAGTATTTAGGGTTATTCCTAACTGTCTAACCAAGTGCTACACACATACAGAGCAAAAAGTATACTTTTACATACCCTGCTTTCAGACTTCTTCTATATGGGGAACCCTTGTGCAGTCCTGGTTCGGGGCTGGTTCGCACCACATCCCGTGCCTTTTGTATCTGGGATCTGAAAGGGTTGCCAACCATTAATGGTCCCTCTTCATGGCCCGAATCCTTGAATCCATGCTCAGGCATTTCAGCATAAATGAGCCCAGTTGCCACAAACTGCCTTCAGTAGAGGGCATCACTGAGGACTCAGGGTCAAGGATAACAGTGTCCTCAATTATGTCCTAAGAATTGGGAGGGGGCGAAACATATCTCTGGAAGCCTGTCCCATGTCCTCCTCCTACTGACCACCAGCAACCCAACCATCCTCCGTGTACTTCTCCTCAGCCTGCTATTGTCTGTGTCTCACAGGTATGGCATGAGTTGTAAAGAGTTCTTCTTGCTACGGTACCTGCAGTGCCTGGTCTATTACACCATGCAGTGTGTGCTCCAGCAGGAACACCAGAGGGATATAGTCGCCACCTTTTCATAGCTCACCATTCTGGTTGCCTCTATAAATGGTGACCCAGATGGTGCATGTTTTCCAATCAAGAGCCATTGATGTGGTGAAAACCCCAGTTTCCCAGAGCCTGTCCTAGTCACATACTTGCACAATTACCCACTGACGGCCCAATGCAGCTGCTACAGCATGGCCAATGTCGAGTTTCAGCTGTAGAGGAGGAGGAGGAAGAGTAGAGCGCATATGCAGTTGCTAGGGAACCTCCACATGCTCTGACTATATAGCACGACCACTGCCAGAAAGAAAAAGACATGCCCTGCCTCTGTGTCCTGACCACCACTTTGCAGAACTTGCTCACCCCCTACTCCCAGCACATGAAGAATGTCTGCCTTTACCCTTTATTATCAGCTATGGCAGTAGGCGTGTTGAAAAATGTGGACACCTAGGGCCTATCCACTGTGAACACAGAAGTGAGTGCACAATATTATGTAACCCTAACACACTGCACTTCACAGATACATATCACAATACAGGACAGTGAATACAGTAGGTGCAGACTATGTAGCCCACCATATTATAGCTGCATGAGTTTGCCATGTTCCCAAACTGAAAACAACAAGTTTGGGTAGAACCCACAGCTCATCCCTACATATGGCATCTTGTGCATTTGCAGAAAACTGAGTATATATTGAGCAGCTTCTCAATAATATGAAAGCTGCAAGAAAGGTGCACATTGAAATAACCAATTAGCTGAATTTCCAGACTTCAGCGCTTTACCTCAGACAGTTTTTGTAACTTAAATGAATTATATTTCAGACACACTCTGTACTTCTATTAAAGAAAGATAAAGACATTTCCACTTTTTTTAAAAAATAGCTGGTTTACAAATTAGGTAAAATGGACTTTTAAATAACTCTAGACTCAGACATGTGAAATTAATTTTATTGCCTAAATAGTCTCAGAATTTACTTTCAAAAACTATTTTAATACCACCAATAAATCAGTGACAACAGATTATTAATCTTTCAAAGCTGAAAATCCTGTATATGGTGCTGTATATCAAAAACAGAAGGTGATGCAAGGAATGGGACAAAGAATTCTTTACAAGGCCTTTTTAATGGCTTCGCCTATTCTGTTTACTTGATATCTATATAAAACAGTTTTATGTATAGCATGCTGCATAAATCTTTCTTCACGGCTCTTGTTCTTGTCTCCTGCCTTCTTTCCATAATCATTCTATTAAGCTTGGCAAATGTACAGAAAGGTTTATGTTCGATATTTATCACTTTATTTTTCATTTGACAGATGACTTTAGGTCATGAAGAAGGAGCCGGAGCGCCTTGCTTAAAATGTAAGGATAAATGTGAGGGGTTTGAGCTTCACTTTTGGAGGTAAGTGTTTATTCTTATATATGAGAACTTGCTTCAAATGATAAGCATTAAGGTGTAAACCATAGAAAATATTTTCTTTTTTAAGGGCTGCTAGCCGACTTTTATTGAAACAAAAAGTTCACGCAGGTTTCTCTCGCATACATGCACTAATTGCCAAATAAACACAAATTCAGCCTTCAGGCTTTCACTTCCAGTGTTCTGCTGCTTTCACCCACCGGTCCTCTGTCTGTTCCTCCTGAGATTATACCTCACTGGAGTGCCAACCTGCACTCACACTGGCTGCCCTCAGCCTTACGATTTCTCTCTCACAGCCACACAGGCTCTCCCTTTGAGGCTAGCGATTGCATGTGTAGATTTCTCTCATTAAACCCCGCAGGCTGAATGAGAGAAATCACTTGATTCCTCCATCCATGCTAAACTGCGTCAATAGTGGAATCTGCACTGTCATAGCTGTCTGAAACACTGAACTGAGACTGCATCTGATAGGATGCAGTCACTGTTCAGCCCACAGTTATCCAACCCGGCTCCTTTTGATTTTGAAATAACTTTTTTGGGGGCCTGGGGATGCCGTCTAAATTCAAGCCATGTATGGCTAGCTTACGTATGTTCATATAATATTGGGATCTTTGTCTACCTAATGACTCATTAAAGCTGAACTCCAGGCAGATGACTAAGTACACAGTTGAAATACCCTTGTGTGAACTGTCTCCTCTGCCGAAGGATTTGTAATTCTGTCCAGCCAGTTCTATGATATATACACCACTGCAGGATAGTAGTCAGAACGGTGACCTCCTCACCCCTAGCCTGCTGATTGTATAATGAAAACGGCAGCATCACACAGATAAACCTTTGTCCCTACTCACTCTGCCGTCTTATCCTCTCAGCATGTTCCTGCCAACACCTCTACATACAGAAAAGCCTGTTTTATTCCTTCTTCTGTCCCTCCTACTTCCCGTATAAGTGCCACTGTGCATGAAGTGACAGGAGGATGATATCAAGACAGATTTGTGTACTTATGCTAGTTGTATTTAAAATTAAATTTGTATTCTTTCAATGTAACGCACAGCCTTATTAAATTGTGCATGGAGTTCAGCATTAATGAGTGTGTGGAAAAAAAATTATCTGATCTCCTTTTTGTATTAATATACTTCAGGATGTGGTCTGGATAAAGGAGAAAAAAAAATTCCAAATAAGGCCAAAATATGTAATTAATGTGTCTGACTGTCTTAGATAATAGAAAACATAGATATTCACATTGATATAATTGATATAGCCAGTTGAGAATACTGTATGTCTAGTCCCTGGGCTGACGCTGCAGTGAAAAGTTTGGCTTTACTTGTTCTAGCGGGATTTCTATTTTTGTGTTAAATTTATATACCTAAAGTATTTTTCCTGCAATATCCGGCAACTCTTGGTTTGAGACTGAATTCATTTAATTGGGCAATGTGTTTTCAGGCTTATTTTTTGAAAGCTGAACTCTAGGCACAAGAACTTGAAATTAAATATATTCCTCATTAGGCACAAATAACATAAATCCACTTTATGTGCACCAATTGTAACTGCAAACCCAATTATTACCTTGTAATAGTAGCAGTGACATCATCATTGTCTTTCCTGAGCAGAGCTGTGGGAGGGACCCAGCAGGTTCACCCGCTACAGTCTGCTTGTAGAAACTACAGGAGGGGGTGGATACAGGAACAGTCACCCTGCACAGGAAGAGAGAGCAGCAGTGACTGGTCTTTATTTTGGGAAGCTCCTGCACAAAGGCAACATTTGACACTGGATTACTGTACAGTTCAGAATGAAATACACAAAATAAGATTCAAGTAAGAACACGCATGCCTCTTGATATTTGCTTATCTGGAGTTCAGCTTTAAAGTAGTATTAAAGTCAAGTTTTTTGGGCATATATCTACTGCTAGTAAGCAGTAGATATATGCCCAACATTAAAAAAAATTGCCAAACACCAACAAACTTACCTGTGTCAGTGCCGCTCACTCCTGGCAGCAGAAGTCCCAGCTGAACGCTGTGAAGAAGGAAGTGTGGGCGGGTGCATCGCAGTCCAGATCATCGGAGGGAGGAGGATGAGACAGACTCCGTGGGACAGGAAGAAAGAGGAGTCTGCGGTGGATCAGAGACCAGCACCAGCACTGGAGGGACTTTGGAAAAAGAGTGGAAGGAAGATGCTGTTCGAATCAAAAAGGCATCACATAAGTTAAGTCCTTACAGGAGTATTAGGGGGAAGGGAAAACATAATTGCCTTTAATGTCACTTTAAATTCTCTAGCTTAATTTTGTTATATTGCCATTTTTTTTTGTTGCTGCACCTCTCTGTATTTGTAGTTTATCAAGTTTCCTAAAGTCTACCCAAATTATTAGAATCCCTTCACTGATAATGGGCATTAATGCAATCAATTGCAGAGTACTGTGGGAAATAATAAGCCTTGCTGCACAGTTTTGTTTTTTTCCTAATCAAATGATAAAGCAGTCATTTGGAGGACTTTTAATACAGTACATTGCCCATTATTGCTATAAGTTGCTGATTTTCACCACGTTTCAGTAATGCTTTCTGCCTGACAGTTGGATAAGCCTCTTGCTGACAGATCAGCTGCAAAATTGACATCTGGGCACACTTGTAGCCAGCCAAGAGAATAGGATGGTTATTATGTGTGCAGACAGTACAGAATATAGAAGGACAGCAACAACATTTCAGATGACTCTTTCCTGCTAGAAAATTATATTTCCACACATTTTGGAGTTTTTTTGTTTTTCTCTTTCTGCAGTTTCCCATTTAATGTGCCTGGAACTGAACATTTAGATTTGATTTGAGACTTTAGACATTAATGAGCAGCTAAGAGCTCTCCTGGATCCTTTTCTGTATACACGGAGATAAGTGGGGATGGAAGAGTGAAGGACCAGATGGTCTTCAGCCATTATCCGGAGTTCTGGACATAAAAAGTAAATTTAGCATTTATTCGATTAGAACGTGTAAAGGAATATTTCCTACACACATTTAAAGGGCTTTTCAGTTTAACCACTTGCTGACCAGGTGTTTCACCCCCTTCCTGGCCAGGCCATTTTTCAGTATTCAACGCTGCGGTACTTTGACTGACATTTATTCCGTCATGCAACGCTGTACTGAAACAAATTTCATACCATTTTTTGGGGACAGATAGAGCTTTCTTTTGGTCGTATTTAATCACTACTGGGGTTTTTATTTTTTACTATATAACAAAAAAAGTACCCTAAATTTTGAAAAAAAAACATGTTTCCCTATAAAATGTTATGAAACATTTATTATCACCCCAATTTTTTGGTACAATATAAAAAATTATAAAAACGCAGAAAACGACCACAATCAAAATTGGCCATAGGCGACGCTTTAAAAGTTTTTACCGCTCATCAGTTTAGTGTTATCAGTGATTGATGGCCCTAAAATGATTGCTCTCATAGCGGCGATATGTAACATGTGCTGCATAATGGGCTCAATCGTCGTTTTCTTACATAGGCGCACCGAACGCACGTTTGCGTGTGCATGTGGGGGGCGGGGGACTTTAAAACATGTTTTGTGTTATTTTTTTTTAATTATTATTTGTGCATATTGTTTTAGCTTCTTTATTTTTTTTAATGCTTAAATTTTTTTTTTAGACTTGGCAATAAAGTTATCACATAGGGGACTAAAATCCCCTGTGTAATAGCCAGTTCACCAAACAGGTCCTCTTTATGGAGACATCAGGGGTCTCCAAGACCTCTGATGTCACCTAGGGACCCCCAACGAAACTGATGAAGCAGAGATCTGCTTCATCAGCTTCTCTCCGGTGTTCTGCACCGGAGAGTGACACTGAATGCAGGAAGTGATGTAATATACATCACTTCCTGCGTTCGGGGGACAGGAAAAGAGATCAAAGGGAGATCGAGTAATAATCTCCCTTTGATCTGCTGTTAGAGCGTCGCCGTGCCGGTCCCAGCCGCACCGGCTACATCGGATTACGGGACCGACATCGGCGGCGAGGGGACAGCGAGACATGGGTACGGGGGGGGGGGCGCACACCCGCAGCTCCTGCAAGCGATCGTGCGTCTCTAGAAACGCAGATCGCTTGTATGTAAACAGCCATCGCTGGCTGTTTTACATGCTCACAGTTTTCCCTCTCGTGTGCGCGCAGGACATCTTAAGACGCCCTCCCGCTCCTAGCAGACTCCCGTCCGGCCGTTCACAAACGGCCATGGACGGAAGGTGGTTAAAGGAAAAGCAATCCTTGACTTCCCTTGCAAGTAAGAGTGGTGTTCATTCTGTCGTGTACATTAACTTGGCATACTAAGGGGGTTATTCACAAAAGGGTGAAGTGTTTGGAGAAGGCAGTAGAAGTGAACACTCTAGGACAACATAGCTGAAATGGAGAATCTTTCTAAATCAGCTATTTTGGCCTAGATTGTTCACTTCTCCTGCCTTCTCCAAACTCTTCACCCTTTTGTGCATAACCCTGTAAGCCTCACCATTCAGATGTATTGTTCTTGGTGTGGCATACTTTCTAAATCTGGAATTAAAACAATTCTTAGTTTACAAAGTGTGCAAAATTTACCTTTTTACTATTAGTTTAATTTGACTGGAACAAGCCAGGTGCTCAAATTAATAAAGGCAATGCCCAAATCCTCCATTGTATACATAATTATAAGTGGGCCCATTCAACATAAAGACCAGTTCGTATGCTATCTTTAAAGTCTACAAACGTGTGTGTGTGTGTGTGTAAAGGAGGACTGATCGATGGGAAGGTGACAGTACAGCAAGCGCATAGCAATCATTTGAACTTATTAAAAGGGGCTGTCATACACCAAAACATTACAATCTGGTTCTCCAATGAGTCTGGCAACTCTTTCTTTGAGAAGCATACACTGCAGTTCAGGTTTAATTACGTTTTTTTTTTTTTTTTATATGTTAATTAGTTGTACTGTCATACTTTTTGTTATAAATAAACATCAGTAAACATTACAATAATAAGAGAGCAAGAATGTAGGAAATGAACAGAAGAACATTACTACTTCAATCAAGGTCAATGTTTTATAGGAAGCAATGATTTTTTTTGTTAACCTGAATTACTAATACTGGCAGTGTCTGCTTATATCATATTCTGTCACCATAATGCTGTTTTTATATATTGTTTTTAGTTATATTGTTATACCATTGGGCTCTTTTTATATTGATTTCTGCATGCCTTGTGCTTTAGAACTATACAATAAACCTTCAGACTAGCAGTGTGGACTCATTTTTGGGTAAATTATTATTGAAGTTAAAGAAAGGCCTCAGCAATATTTAGTCTACCAAAGGTGGTTCTATATTTTGCTGGCCTGTATGTCATATTGTAGTCAGTGTTTAGAGGATTTTGATCATGGAGTATAAACTATCTCTTTATCAACTGTTTTGCTACCTTGATTATATCTAGAGAATAACTAATTTATTTGAAACTACTAGAAAAATCTGTAGAAATTGCAAATGTGGACAAGAAGAACATGAGGTTGGATCAAATAACGAAGATGACCGTAAAGTCGGCAAGCTGTTTGAGGATACGAAATATACAACTCTCATTGGAAAGTTGAAAACTGATGGAATACCTACTTATAAGCGGAATGTGATGATTTTGACTAATCCCGTGTCAACAAAGAAAGATGTTTCCATCAGTACTGTGACTTATGAATGGGCACCCCCAGTACAGAACCAGACTCTGGTAAGCATAGATGTTTTCCAGTTGAGTAAATATACTAGTTTAAAGAATATTTACCACATTTAACCTATTCTAAAATACCTATTAATTTCTGTATGACAGCAGGAAGCAGACTTCTGAGCCACAGGTACCTCATATTCATAACTGTGTGGGAGTGAGTGGAGATCCCAATATTACTGAGTTCCATTGAGTGCAGGAGATTGTGAAGCAATAATTCTTACCCCCTGTAAAATATAATTCTCACTGAGGAAGTTTTATACTTCCTTTTTACAGTAATGCTTAATAAGAAAGTATAGTACATCCTTTTTTGGCATACTATGTTATGGGGCAGGGTATCCCCATGAATCATTCTTCCCCTTTAGGATCCTGCATACTTAGGAATCAGAGTTCCATGGGTTAGGAGCGGGCAGGCTGTTCTTTTTGACAGAACAAGGGCTTCCCAAGTGGACTAGTAGAGGGTTCAACTTTTGTGCAATAGTAGGAAGATTGCAAATATCTTAATGGCAAACTGATATTCTATGTGCACTCCAGTGAAGCTGATTTGCCAACATATATTCATTACTACCGTATATACTCGAGTATAAGCCGAGATTTTCAGCCCATTTTTTTGGGTGAAAAGTGCCCCCCTCGGCTTATACTCGAGTCAGCGCCAGCGCGTCATCTTACTTACCTCGCCGAGTGTCGCGTCACTGCTGCTCGGTGTGCGGCGCTCCGAGCGGGGTCATCTGGCAGTCTCCGGGTCCTAATTTAGGTGGCCGGAGACTGCCAGATGACCCCGCTCGGAGCGCCGCACACCGAGCAGCAGTGACGCGACGCTCGGCGAGGTAAGTAAGAAGACTAGAGAGATTAATTAAGCAATTATATATGTATTGTCTGCACTGTATTAGCAGTATATACTCTATATGGAGTATATACTGCTAATACAGTGCAGACAATACATTTACAATTATACTAACATGAATGTATTAAATGATCTGTATGTAGCCCTGTACTATGGATCATTTAACCCATTCATGTTAGCAGAGGATCATTGTAAATGTATTGTTGCAGGCACTCTATATGTACATGTACTATATACTACATATAGAGTGCACTGAACAATAGATTTACAATTATCCTCTGCTAATATGAATGGGTTAAATGATCCGTAGTACATGATATGTAGCCCTGTACCCCCTTTTCCACTTACAGAGCTAGGTTATTTTTCTTTTAAATAAATATTAATGTAATTTTATTGGTATCTATCTACCAGTAGCTGCCTCATTTCCCACCCTCGGCTTATATTCGGGTCAATACTTTTTCCCAGTTTTTTTTGCTAAAATTAGGTACCTCGGCTTATATTCGGGACGGCTTATACTCGAGTATATACGGTACTTTTAATTACACCTCTGTACCTTGAAAGATGGTGCCTTTGTGCTTGTAAAATAATGTTCAAGAGATAATGGCGATTGTGCAATAAATGGAGATTATACAGTACATACTATGATGTTACTTTGGGCGACCGTGCCCACGGTTTTAGTGCCACATCATACCATTTCTACAGAGGTGCAAATAGAGCACGATTAAGATGTAGATATAGATTTGAGAACACACAGAACTATCTTCTATGATATCTGAGAAATGTAAGCTGCTCAAGATCCAAACATCCTATACTTTTTTTATTAATATTGCTGATAATGTGTGAAAAAGTTATCATTTAAAAAAAATCAGATTCAGACGAAATGTCACTGAGCATGCGATTTCTTTGCTTAATGGATAATAATTTGTCCGTGTATTGTACGATTTTGTTATTGCTTTCTCTAAATTTGCTAATGTATGTTTTAGGCTAGGCGTTACATGGAACTGATTCCAAAAGACAAACAGCCCGTAGCTGGTTCAGAGGGAGCCCAGTACCGGAAGAAACAGCTGGCAAAACAGCTGCCTGCTCATGATCAGGATCCTTCCAAGTGCCATGAGCTGTCTCCTAATGAGGTGAAGCAGATGGAGCAGTTCGTTAAGAAATACAAGGATGAAGTCCTTGGTGTGGGAGATGTCAAGTTGCCCAAAGACGTGGAGGCACAGGCAGGTGACAAGGGCAAGCCTGACAATGGGGCCCGGAGCACCGTCACAGCTGTCAAGGGGCCAGACAACAAGGCAGCCGGACCACAAGGATCTGCCTATGTGAGTAGTTGCACAATGTGATAACAGCATGTTAATGTTTATCCTTCTTTGCTTCATCTACGCCACAACAAACAGGATGTCTTCTTTGCTTTTTATGGAAGCACTCATTTTTGAGTGTTAGGTTACATCGTTTGTAAATATAATTTTAGTTACAATGCTTACTTTACACATACCTATGATAATTAAAAAAACATAGCAGAATTTGACAGTTAGCTGCTGTCACATTATAATTACCCACTTACTTTTATTGCCAGTCTTCCACCCCAGCCTAGATATGCATGGTTCATCACTGAGATTGTCCCTTACCAATTAAAAAGTCTGTACTGTCTTGACTGCAAAGGGTCCAATTTTTTATGGTGAAATTGCAGCAATTTACTCAGAAAATGTTTTTAGATTTTACAATAAACTGTAATGTATACTGTCATGCCCTTTAGGGAAAGACCGTATGGAAAGCTGGACTTTGATGATGTATTTGGCTTGTATGCTTATGTTGGATAATGCAACTCTTGATCTCCTTCTAAATTACAGTCTGCACCTGCCTATGTGATTTAAAGGAATGTATTTGTTAGCAAAGCCCGTATACACCCTTTCAAACCTAGAAATTGACTTAAGGTGGAGCCAGCTTTTTAGTCACTGTGCTTTTAAAGTGATACTAAACTCAGAAGTTCAATCTTAAAAATGCATTTAAGTACCCTAACTATTAACAAAAATGTATCTTATTTGTGTATCACTCAGCTGTAGAGCCTCAAATCATCTCTGAATTGGTGCTGACACCGTCCTTCCTTCTGGAGGGTGGCTACTTCCCCATGGTCCCTGTGTGTGTTGTAAAGTAGCCACCTCTCCAAGCCCGCTCCTGTGATGGACTACAATCTCATAATAATTTGTATTGACATTATAGTCCAACACGAGACCAAGCTTGGAATGGTGGCTACTTTACAACACACACAGGGATAATGGGGAACAAAAGTAGCCACCCTCCAGAAGGAATGACAGTGTCGGCACCAATTCAGAGATGATTTGAGGACCTACAGCTTATTTACACAAATAAGATACATTTTTGTTAATTAAGGTATGTTATCAAATGTTGCAGACATGTAATAGATAGTAAAAAGTGTGTCCATTTTGAGATAAAAGCAGAGCTTAATATAATGTTGTATTATTTAATTATGACCTCC